TACACTGCTCTAGGAACTGCGATGAATCGACTTCTAGGAACGCTACGTCGGGAGTGAGCGGAGTTACTACAGGAGATCATACACGGAACGGTCCATGCCTGCTGTGGACGCATGCAGCAGCTTTGTACTTTTGCTCGAAGCATCACCAAGTTAGTCCAAAAAATCGCTCGGCTACGCGATCCCTTCCGGCCGTCATGAGACTGGTTTTACCTCGCTCTTCTAAAGCTTTTTTTGTTTTGTTTTGATTTTTTTGACAGGAGTTAGTATCGGGAGATTTAAAAACCAGGTAGAGCTGAGAGCTGTATACATCTAGGTTTAGGATTAACGAGTACAGCATAAAAGAATCACACAGGAATGACACCGCCGCACGGCCGCGGCCACTCGCCCGCCCCGCGGGGGCAGAGCTCAGTCACTCATGTCCATGTCCTCCTCGTGGTGGTCGTCCCCATTGACTTTGGATTCCCGGGCGGAATCGCCGCTGCCTTTGTCGGTGGCAGGCTCCTTGCCTTTCGGGGAGGAAGAATCTGATGTTTTCTTCTCCTCCTTCTTCTCCTTCTCGCTGTCGTAGCCTTGTTCTTCTTCATCGTAATCCCTTGTGACCTGCTTTGCCGAGGGAAGGAAAAAAGAAGGTAAAAACTTGCTTTCAAAGCCCCCATCGGCTTGAGGTTAAGCCCACAGGACAGGCGGGGGGGTTACGCAGGTTTTTAAACATACTTTCACGTCTTTATCGCTCTCGGATTTGCGTTCTCGATCCTTCTCTTTGTCTTTGCTTTTTTTTTTCTTGCTTGTCGACCGCTCCCTCTCGTCTCTACTTCTCTCCTTGTCTTTATCCTTCTTTTTTTCCTTTTTATGTCTACAACAACAAAGCACGTAAGGAATGGCGCGACGGTGGGTTTCACAACTACAACGCGGACCGTGCTTGGGCCATTACCCAGCACGCGGGACCAACCTAAAGGGACAAGCAGCAATGTGCGATGGTCGCCTTCAGAAAATGCCCAAACCTCCCCATTCTGCAGCTCGGGATTGAACAAAACCTCCAGGAAGCAAACTCTAAGAAAGGCCGAGCCAAGATCTGCTCTCAGGGAGTCAGCCCACAGGCTGCATGTGAGGAACAAGCCCAACAGGCACTGGCATCCAAACAACCCCACGGCGACCTGTGCTAGAGTTCACATCTTGGGAATTTTTCCCCTAGACACCACTTCTTTTTTTCTTTTTTTTTTTTTTTTTTTAAACATAGCCAGAGGGTTACAGACCTTCTCGGAGACGGGGACCGGGACATCTTCCTTTTTGGAGACCTGGGTTTTTTAGGTGACCGTGTTCCACTTCTGCTTCTTCTACGTCGTCTTTCTCTGTAGGAAAGAGAGATCTAAGGGTTTGTTTTTTTTTTTTAAAGCTACAAATACACCTTCGGCTCCAAACCCAGCACTCCTCTAGAGGCAGTAAATACATATCGCTCAAAACGGACATTTACTACTAGGAGTACTGCACAGCCCACACAGCTGCTGATGGGCAGAGTCAGTTCTCTTCTGTCCTGTCCCCACCTTCCCTAACGAATCACTGGCTTAGACTCCATCAGGGGTCCTGAACCCTTCTGCAAACAAAATAAATTCTTAATATTGCAAATTAACTTTGGGAGTTTTTTAAAACAAGAATGGAGCGCATTTCGCATGTATTTGTTCTGTAAATCGGGTGAGAGTTGAACAAAGCATCGCACTCTCCCATACGGAGTGAGGAGATACTATCATGAGCCCAAATGACACCTCCAGGAAACTGAAGTATCAGGGGGAAAACTAAGCATCTTCTTCATACGGGCCGCAAGAGGAGACCCGCACATCTGTGCACACAGCCAGCACGGAATCAGCCCCGAGCACATATGGGAACGCTCTTTCTACCAACGGGGACAAAGCGCGCTGGAAACGGAGCCTGAGGAAAGATCACGTTACCTGCTTGTGCTTCTTGATCGTCTAGTTGTGCTGTAGCTTTTGGGGGGAGTTTTCGAGCGCTTCTTTTCTTTCTCTTCCTTCTTTTTATCCCTTTTGGTAAAAGAGATTTTCAGTTTAGATCATTTTCAGAGCAGCATTCACGACTTTTGCCGTGCAGAAAAGCGACTGAAGACACAGTAACTGCACCGGAGAGGACAGACCAGTCGCTGTTTTGGGGTCACATCATGTTAACGGGAAACCAAAATGACAATTGTCCAGAGCAAAACAGAAGAACAGCTTTGTACAGCCTCTGAGTGCAAAGAGCACAAACCCTGCAGGGCTAGGTGCTCCCATTTCCCACTTTTTAACTTTTTTATTCATGGTGTGGGGTTTTTGTTTGTTTTCCCAATAAAGCAACGAAAGTTTTATCACTTGATTCCCAGCAAGCAGAAGAGATTCCCGAAGTGATTACCTGGTTTTGGATGTGCTCCGAGACCTTCTGCTTCTCTCTCTGGAATGAGACCTTCTTCGCCTTGGACTTTTGGATCGCCTCCTGCTTCTGGATTTTGAATGGGACCTTCTCCTTGATCTGCTTCTTGACCGTCTGCCAGTAACACATTACATGTTGGAGTTACGTGTATGAAATTTTGATACATTGTTCAGAATCCACCTGCTCCGTGCCAACGGTACAGTAATGCTCAAAATGCAGAAAATAGAATATAGAAAATAGTGGAGGAGTTGCAACAGGTCCACTGAGGAAACAGAAGAATGAAGTGGACACTAATGTCAGAGCGACGCTTCCATCAGCTCGCTCGTCACCCTCCTCATAAGAAAATATCCACCCTATTGTAAAGGATAAGTCCCGCTGAAACATGAAGAAATTTTTAGAACGCTAAACCGAACACAAGCCAATTACTGGATACACAAATAGCAAAGTAGCACAAGCTGGGAGGGCGTCGTGAAAGCGGCTTTGCTGGGGGCCATTGGAGCCAACAAGCCAAGAGCAGGGAGCCCCATGCCCTGCAGTCTGGGCAGGCCAGCGAGCAGATCTCTCGCCAGCACACCTGAGCAGACTTGAACTCCAAAGCAAATCGTAGAAAAAGCCGGAAAAAACTTTTGTCCCGCTGAGCTGAATTTGCTGCACCTGCCCAGCAGGTGAACATTTCTGTGCCTAAATAAGGATGCTCAGAGAAGCCTCCTAGCGCTCAGGTTTAAAAGGAATTTTGCCATGTGAGCAGACTAGAAAGAAAACAAATTTTAAGGAACTACCGTAGAACGGACAAGCCTGCACCAGCTCAGGTGTTGGTGGCAGCAAGGGCTGTGTAAAAGCCCAGCTTCCTGCTCATGTTTTTCTTACCCAACACAAGAAATATCTATTGTTAAATAAAACCAGAGTCTAGGATTGGGTGTCCCCAAGTTCCTCCTGCAGCAGTTTAAGGTTTTGAAGGAACCATCTCAGCCAGGTGTGCGTGTTTGGGTTGGTTCTTTTTTTGTAAAACAAAAAAGCTAACTACCTATGTCTAGATGAAGAAGGCGTCCTCCTCCTCCTCGAGCGTGACCTCGACCTTGAATGCCTTCGTTTTTCATCTTTTTTGTCTGGAGTTAAACAGGAAAAAAGCAGAGTAGAAAGGTCAAGCATTTTGCATCTCCCAAATCAAGTGAATTTTGGTTAATACAAGAGATGATCGATTCCCTGCAGCATTCTGCAGGACATGCGCAACGTTCCCGCAACAGGGCAATTAAAAACCCACCAACTATAAACAACATCACTACTGAGTATGAAAACATCAAGCTGGTATTTTGCAGACCATTAGCTTTTACCATGTACTACCTCAAAACTTCAACCGAACGAGCTATTCTACAATTGAAAGTTACCTGGCTCTATAGCAGCAGAAATTAATGACTGTGCTTCCCGTACTCTTTTCATAGCTTCTTCTATTTCTTTACTGGAGGTATCTGATTTCAGACTCGGCGAAACAAGACCTGCAGCTACATGGTTCAACCTGGCAAACAGAAAAAGAGTTGGAGAAATTCAGTGCTGATGAGTCCAAGAAACATGCCCCTCCGGTGGCAGTTTGGGAGCGATCCAAGTGAATCGGAACACGCCTGCGATTTGAGCAGTAAATGTGGTATCTGGGCTGAAAACAGCAGCAGGAGACGCTTGCTCAGATGACCCCTAGAATTCCAGTACACTGTAAACAGCAGGAAAAGTTTGTATCGTCTCGCACAAATGTTCCTAAGGACACTCTTCGAAACATTTTTGTACAACAATTTTAATGTTCATCACCCTAAAAAGCAACTCCACAGTGTATTATTCCACACTGGAAAGCGAGTTTCTGTTTTGACAAGCTTTACTGAGAAGGCTACAGCCAGCAATCAAGTTTAAAGCCCAGAAGATGTTCTACATGGTGACTTTGAAGCCAGACAGGCTTCATATCTCATATACCCGCCTGATGCTTGTCTAATCCACTACCTTGGATTATCTTCTCTACCACAGCCAAGGGTCTGCAAAAGATCCCCAAGGCACTGGTTTTCTTCAACCTTAACCAGATCCAGCAGGACAAGGATCGGGTACTGAAGCACCTCAGATATCCCCAAGACCAAAAATATTGCAAAAAAAAAACCCATCTGCAAACACCAAGACTTACTTTGGATCCACGGTGCTCATCAGTTTTAGTAGCTGATCTGCTGCAAGAGACTGCAAGAGAGAGGGGAGAAAAAAAAGTTAAACCCCTGCTGGAAGATGTGTACGGTTAAGAAGATTCTCTTCCTTGAATGCGCCCTCAGCAGTGGCTACAGCAAGAAGTCTCTACTGGTGAAAAACCCCCAAAATAAATCACAGAAGTTAGAGACCAAAAGGGATGTTGTTCGGTTTTAAAACTCGTGGAGGGTGGTGAGGGTGTGACTAGCACATTTCAGTGGTGTTTAGGGATTTTTTTATATATGCAGCAGCCAAATGTAGGCCCTCTCCTGGATGGAACTAAAGCACTTCAAAACAAACCCACATTTCTTGTGTTCACAGGTTATTTCTTTGCTATTGCAGGAAAACAGAGGCCTCATTAGAGAGCTGACTTGTCTGTCCACCGCAAGTCCTCAGTGACAAGCTACAACCAACAAGCAAAAGCTTCTTCACTATGAAAATTCCACAAATTTTACAGCTCTTGTGAAAATCTAGACATTATTACAACCGGTCACTTCCTGTACCAGTGGTGTATTAACAAACTGTCCCTACTAGTTTTCTTTATACAGGGGCAGCTGTGTGCTAAACCCAGTATTCCTTGCCATCGGCCAGCTTAATGGGCAAAGGAAACAACCCTCCACCACATCAAATTTACTTTTCCCCCACTCGCTATTACTTGGTACCCAAGGTCTTTTTTTTAAGCTAGTTTTAAAAGACTACAGCCTAACAAAGATATTTTCCACACTTACAAAATTAAAAAGTCAAATAATTTTTTTTTTTTTTACAGCAAGTACGAGACAGGTTCACAGCCTGATAATGACAGACGTCTATAAAAATCACAGAATCATTCTGGTTGGAAAAGACCCCTGGGATCACTGAGTCCAACCACTGACCCAACTCTGCAAAGCTCCCCCCTAAACCATCTCCCTCAACCCCACATCTCAATGACCTTTAAACCCCTCCAGGGATGGGGACTCCTCCACCTCCCTGGGCAGCCTGTGCCGATGGCTGACTGCTCCTGCTGGGAAAAAATTTCTCCTACTGCCCAGTGTAACCCTGCCCTGTTGCAGTTTGAAGTCGTTCCCTCTTGTTCTATCACTAATTACCCGTGAGAAGAGACCAGCACCAACCTCTCCACAATGTCCTGTCAGGCAGTTATAGAAGGAAATTTGAAATATTTCATCACTAGTTGCCCAGAAAAATCTATCACTCGATTGTTCAGACAGCGGCTGTTAAACTGGTATCAAAATACTTTTAAAACAGGAGAGTAGCAAAAAGTGTTCATATATAAACCTGGTATGTCAAGAAAGACTGCGTTCTGTAACAATTCTAAGAAGTTTAAAGAACCAGCAGACTGTGCAGACTAACCTGGGCCAAGCCTCTAGAAAAAAAAAAAAATAAAGGGCACTAAAGGAACATCTGAAGAGGCGGGACGTACCTGAGAGTTTAAGTTGGCGCCGGGAAGCCCAAGAGCAGCGAGGGCAGGGTCAAGAGCAGGAGCTCCCAACGCGGCTAACGGGACAGCACCGATCTGCAACAGAGCCAGCAGTTACCCACACGTAGCCTGGGCAGCCGAGGGGAAACCGCTCGGTCCGGCTCCCCCCAAAGCACCACACACGTGGAAACTTGAACTGGGTTTTTACTCAGGCTTCTAGCCACAGGAAACATTATCCTGCGGTCAGCCAGACTATTCCACTTCTCCTTATCTCGGTTTTCCAAAGCTTAACACATGAAGGATACTTTTTTTCCCCCTACAAATATTCTAAAACGAAATCCTGTTTCCTCTGCATCCGACAGGTAGGGAAAAGTAGAGTAACGCATTCCTCTGCACTCAAGAAGCAGTTAAAAATTAATGTTTTCCAGTGATGAAATGAAAACTCATTACGAGTTTCTGAACCAACTGCTGCATACCTACATCAGTTTAGAACTGAAATGGGCATGTTTTATGTGAGAAGACAATATAGTATTATTGCATCTCTGCAATTTCCTCAAATTTGGTTAAAACTGGCAAATGGGTTGAAAAGGTACTGGATGAACAAGCAGGCACAGGTCTGAATTCCTTCAATTCGTCTAGAACCCTCGTAAGAGAACCTCATTTTTTTGGCCATTTGAAGTACGATGACCAAAACCGAACTCTACTGTTCAGTGCACCGGGAGTCGGCCAGGATTCAGAGGGACAGAACTAAAATCAGGGTGGTTCAACAACCATTCCCAGGAATTTAGACATGTGTAGTTTTTGGTGAAAGGAATCCTCAAGCCAGTATTTGTTGCTTCCATTCCTTTCCTTGAATTTCAAAGTTAAACTTTAGGACTTTTCCCTCTATATATGGTTAAAGAGACCTTCTGAACCACGTCAAGTACGTCTTTCACACCATGGAAAGCCTCACAGAAGCTACAGCAACAAGAGCTAAGAAAAAGCCCACGAAGTACATTTGAGAACTGCAGAATTAACGAAGCTTTACTCTTATTAATTTGCCTCTCGTACTTCAGTTCTCTCTTCTACAATGGAGATGTGTGCTTTGCCTGAAGCTTTTTCCATAATTATTCTTATTGTTCAGCTTCCGCACGAATTCTTGGGAATATGTGAATTCTTGGGAAAATTTGCTCCTCAGAGCAAATATTGGCTACTATTTCTTCCCTCCTCTGCTGGGAGTGTTAATGGGAGGTGTCTCCAAGTGACATCAACATCTCAAATTTCGCAAGTTTAAAAATCTATGAGACCTCTGCTGCTTGTCAGATTGTTCCATGAGCATACAACGGACAAAAACGGATGAGAGACAGACTGGAAAAATGCAAGGGGAAGGAAGTCAGGCTCTGTTGGAATGTCAAAGCGTCAAGCCTACCTGAGAGAGCGGGTTGGGCGTGGGCAGGAGTCCACCTCCGGGCAGCAGCCCTGCGACAGCGTTAGCTGGTGCCAAGAGAGACAAAGCCTTAGTCTCATCAGGAATGACTCCTGCAGAGAAACAGCCTCGCATTAGAACGCATCCCCTCGCGACGGCAGAAAATACACAAATACACCCAGCAAATGTCTCCCTGATACACCACCTGAGTTTGTTGAAAGTACTTATGTTGGCTAAAATACAAAGCTCGATGTCTATTAATATTTATCATTAACTTTTTTATTGCCAGAAAGAAACTTCAATGTGTGAAAATTTGACTGTTCCTTTTTCTCTACAAATGGTTAAGTTTCTAGAGCAAAAAAATAGCACAATACACACTACTTTTTTGTTAACACTGCCAAGATTTCATCACCTGTACTCGATTTTTAAGTCATGAACCAAACGTAAGCAAGCACAGTCGGTTCTCCAGGGGTGTGCTCTCAACTTTCAAAAGCTGTTTTATGAACAACGACTCGTGTCGGCTGCTTCACTATAAAGCACACAGAAAAATCAAGATACACAAGACAAAAAAAGTTGGATTTAGGGGTTAATAATACGGTACAGTTCACTATGTTTTCTTTTACACCTACCATATAAATTTCGTAAAACTTAAAAGAGAAGGTATGGAAATATTTTATTTTTTTTGCTGAATCAAGCGTAGGGCTTTTGCTGACTTGTCAAATGAGAACGAAAGTCTCTGCAGATCTTCAAATACTCGCTGTGGGTGCGTGGCTGCGGGTGAGTGGGTGCATACGTACAGGGTATGGTGGCACATTCCTTACCTGCGCAGTAAAATGCATTTGTCCCGCTATGTGCCATGCTTATTGTACCAAGAATGCTGCTACATACTGCCATTTCAGAGGAAACTTCTGGCCCAAAATCTTGCAGCCAACTAAGACAAGTGTCTCATCTTACTGCCTACATGTAATCTTAAGGGCCCTACTGTGAGACAAGTAATTACGTAGCTATTTTTTACTCTATCCAACAGCAAAAGCCCTATACAGATGGATTAATTTGTTAATGTGCCCAAGCCCCCAAAATGAGAGTTCAACAAAACAATTTTACTATATATTTGCAAATACCAGTAGTGTTTCTGCAATACATATTAAGAAACTGCATCTCATCATAAAACATACAATATGTACAGGGCACTTAAGAGAAACTGGATAAGCTGCAGAAGAAAACTGTTGGGTGGTATTTTCAGCAGGGCCTGGTATATAGTTCAGGCTGAACCAGGGAAAAGAACTGTAAAACACAACAACAAAAAAGAAAAACCACTGTTAAATAAAGGTAATGGTTCCTTCCACCTATACTGAGAAGTGCCGATAATATAAACAAATGTATAATACACAGCACTGTTAGCTTGCTCGTGGCATTGAGCTGTCAGCAATTTAGATACCCAAAGTTATGGAGGGAGAGGGGGGAAAAAGGTCATTTAGGTAAAGGGCATTAACGCATAAATATATTAACATACCTACAGAGAGATTATGGGGTAATTTTGCATGCAAAATTAGCTCTCAGAGGACATTTACCAATTATAGCTAAACATTTCAAATTAGCGCAACTACAACATTTCCGGCATCTAAATACAAATCCTCAGACTTAGCTTGAGACACCTCATAGAAGATCTGCATCCATTAAAAAAAATTAAAAAAAAATAAAAATCATGCATCTGATCCTCTACTTGTTTTTTTTAAAAATTATTTAGAAATAAACTACAATTTTTTTTAAAAAAAAAGCAATGAGGCCCCTCACCAGTTAATTTTCATGCTTCAAGAGTTTTTTTACTGCTGCTTTGTTAGAACCATGAAATACTGCATGAATGTGTAGAAATGAAAGAAAAAGAAACAGACAAAAGAAACAAACATTAACCAAGAACCTAAATAATCCCCCCAGCCACCTTTAATCTTTATAAAGAGTTCCTTCCAAATCTAGGAATAGCACAGTGAAAAATTACAAATACTAAACCTTACCGTAGACTTTGTGTATAGTTCTACAACACAAAGCAACAGCCAACACCAAAGTGTCTGTGTGTGCTAAAACTGGAGGGCGCTTGGGATATAGGGGATAATTATCACGCTAAACAGACAACAAACATTGGCTTTAGTGACAGGCAACAGCAATACAGAATTATCACAATAGAAAAATCAAAGATTCAAAGGGCCCAGGGCAGCACAGTGGTTAAGCAAACGCCTGGCTTTAAGCACGTGAGCGATTTCGCTCCTTTTAAGAATCCTGCTGCATCGTGCTTAGTGCAGGTTGTTCCATCAGGGCCTCGGGGTATGCGGTTGCAGGAAAACCGTACTCAAGGACGGGGCCAAAAGTATCCCGGTGCAAAACCAGGGTGTAACTCCATCGCCTGGGCATCTCTCTCAGGGTATGTTACGCTGTTCCGCCCCAAAACACGGGCATTCTGACACACTGGAACGCTGCATGGAACAGCCCAGGAGGAACTCCTTGATTTCAACAGGCCCGTTTAAAATGTTCTACTTCTGGGATTTTTTTTTTCTCTTTACCTGCTCCGAACCAGAGCTACCGGGCAGATTTCTCTATGTGCCAGATTTATCCACCATCAAGCACAATGGACAAAGTCATACTGACAAAGAGAAAACCAAAACGTTTTCATTCTCAGTGGGGCAGTGAAACACTGACATTCCTCATTATGGCCTCGGAGGGTATTTCAGAACTAGCTCAGAGGGCCTGGTGCTGCAGCACACTTTAATACAAAGACAAGGACGAGATGCCTTTTGACTACACTATCGTACCTAAACTAGCGAAAGCGGCAGCAGTGACTTGGTGGCAATTTGAGAACGTGGTCTGTAACTCTCAAAAAGCAGCAGCACATCAGAACCAAAGGTCATGCTGCAGATTCCTACGTTGCAGAAGTTTTAAGGTTTCGTATCTTTTAAGGAATACAAAGGTAAGGCAGCTCCCCAGGCCTCAAGAGACAGCCCACAGCATGACAACATCTTGATTACATAGGTCTGAACCCAGGCCGCGTAGCAAAGTTCTTACTGTAGCACCACTTAAATCTGCAGAGATTATATTTAATTCAAGCAATCTGGGAAAATCCATTATTTCAGAAGTAAATCAAGAAACAGTACAATGGAAATTGGTTACTTCTAAAGCAAGTCTAGAAGAGTTTAATAAGACTTCTGTAAGAGGTGTCTTCTCAGCACTTTGTTTTTAAGGTAAGTTCCAAAAACCCTGCTCATTGCCTTTCAAATTACTGTAACACCCTAAAATGTAAAAATAAAAAGAAGAAGAGAAAATGTAGTTAACAAGTGGTTACACCAGGAAAACACTTGGGGACTTGAGTGCTCGCTGGCCTTTAGTTAATGTCTAGAATCCCCTGTAGCTGCAGAGGACCCACTGTTTTTCAGTCATCTGGAAGGGCTTTGCATTTGCCTTCTCCACTACAAAAATCACACACACAAATAACAGAGAGAAGAGTTTATTATTTAGTGAAATTCTATCAAATATATCAAGGATGAACAAGAAAAACTTGGAATAAAAAACTAGTACCAGTGCCCTATTTGGCACCTCTTAGAGGAGCTCACTTTCAAATTAAATCATAATTATTTGAACCCTTGGTATACTGGACTTCACAGCGTGCCTTTTGGGGAAGTTCCCAACTAGCTGCAGTGGCAGCACATCTCCAAGAAACGTTCATCTACTTTCCCACGCGCTCTCAGGGAGGGGGAAACCACTGTCCTGAGGACACTTACACCTATGGGAAAGTGGCAAACACTCGAGGCAAAATTTCCTTAAGATGTTGATCTGTTTGCCTACGTCCACTTAAGAAAATGTCTCACCAAGATGATAAAGAGCAAAATTTGAAAATAATTCTGCCTCAAATGTTAATATTATAAACTTAAAGGCACACAAACCCAGTAAGAGGTAAGCTTTCCATTTTCATTAAGTGTCACTAGATTAAAAAAAATGTCTTTAACCCATGGGCCAATAGCAATATACCAAGGGTTTCCAAATGGTAATATCTTACTTGTTTGACATTTTACTAATCCTCATTTTTGTGAGCTATAACTGGAACAAAATGCCATCATACAGTGGCTTCATAGGTCATTAAACAAGTCACAAACCTTCTGCATATGGTACGACTATCAACGCTCTGTCAACGAATACAGTGTTTGTCAGATGCTGGGCCACAACTGCCGAGTCCGGATCATGGAACTTTACAAAACAGACACGCGACGAAACAGGCAAAGGAGAATCACTGAAAAAGAAAGACAGAAAGAAATTATTTAGATGGGAGCAAGTCTGACAGCAGGAAACTCGTCACTTCTGTCGCCTCCCCGCTTTCAGCACACCAGAGGTATTGCTCTAGGCAAAAACACTATTTCAGGTTTTATATCAAACATCTTGCATGGTCACGGACACAAGAATTACACTCAACAACAATTCACTGCAAAATCGCAGAAAGAGTTCTACTGCCTCATTTGTAACCGGACTTTAATTCCACAATGCATAGTGTGCCTACGGTCAAGCACCTAAATGGAAATTAGTTTTCATGACCTGGCCATGAGAAGGGAAGGAGACAAAGAAAAATCATCCTCAAGAAAGATCAAGTTACCTCCTATGAATGCCACAGAAGTCAACAAACCCAGTCATTTTACACTCTCTGCTTTGGGCCCCAAATCACTTAAGGTAAATTATGACATCAAGAGAGTACTAATTAAAATACCACTATGATTTACTTACTGACAAAATTTCATAAAAGCTTCTAGACTGGAATTGTAGGTCTGTAAAAACTGAAACCAACCAAACCAAACCCACCAAAACCAGAGGCTGATCAATCTGGTAAAGAGTCAATATATCCTGAAAACAGTGTAGATCTTCCTTTAATCACACACATAAACTAAACAACAGCAAGAAAAAATTGTTCTGCAGACACAACTGTGGGGCACACAAGTTAAGAGCTGCCTCCAGAAGTTCCTAAACGGGACCAGGGTACACATGTTGTTCAGTTCCACCCTACATACCAGAGGTACAAGCTTAAAGAGGTAGCTCTGAGAAATATTCACGAACTCTTCACGACAAAGATCTCCCTCTACTAACTAGATTCCCCAAACGATACAAGGCTAACTCTTCGAAATGCCAAAACCACCACCGAAACCATCTGATCTGGGTTGAAGAACACTGATCAAGTCTTTCAGCGCTGGAAGCGCAGACAGAGTTATCAGAACTCAGAAGAAAGACTTCGACATCAAAGTCAACACCCAAGATCTATTTTTGTTAGCGCAAATGCCAAAAGCTCTCCAGGCTTCAGCACCACCCGGCAGAGGCTCAGCCCAACACACGCGGGTTACGTAACCTCAAGAGCTGCCCTGAAGGTCTGCCACATCCCGCTTTAACGTGCTTAAATTTCACCTGATGTTAAAGACTGGAGTCAGCTTTTAAAAGTCAGAAACATCTCGCAAATTTAATAAACTGAAAGTAACACTGTAGAGATAAATGGCACCGAGAAAGAAAAACTCAAACTGTAAATTCTTTTATATCTACAGACACACAGGAGCTTGCCAAAACCTGCCTTTTCTTAACCTGTCTGCATAGACATAAACCCCAAAGAAGCTTTGCAGGAAGCTTTCAAACAAAATCACAGCTGTAAAAATTTTAAAGAAAAGTAAATCAGGGAGTTACAGCACACCTGAAAGGTATACTGACCCAAGTTCTAAAAAAATTATAAAAATTTATTACATAAATGCAGTAGAGTATTTTCAAACATTTTTAAAGGGTCTGTGATAAAAGGGGAACACAGGACAGAGAACTATTACTCCAAAACAAGCTGCACAGCTAGCTGAATCTACAAAAGCAACCAAAAATACATAAGGCTACGCTTACGCAGCCCCTGACATTTAATATAAAACACCATATTTAGTTTTTTTTAAAAAATGTTATTTCCAGCTACTCTAAAATCCAAGCTGTGGCTGAGTAAAATTCATCAAGAACGGAATGTTCTTAACAGTTACCAAAAAAAGGCCATCATTATTCTAATTCACCAGAGACTGAAAAATTTAGTAGTTCTCTCCCAAACATCACGCCAACGACCGCGGAGACACACGATGATTTCCTTGGGTTGGTGCCTGAGCACTGCACCCGCTCTGAAGTACGGCAGATCACCAGGGAAATCCAACCTTCACACCAGAACTTCTAGCTGCTTGCTCCCTTGGATCGCAACCAGCACCTTAAACATTAAATCTGATTTTTCCAAGGGGTATTTCTGCCACTCAAAACATTATTACTGACATTATTATCGATGTCAAACCAGGCTGGAGTCAACAGATTGTTCATGCAAGAGATGTTCTTCGATACTACCATGTTCTTAGGATGGAAAGAAACAGAGTTTCAAGGAAAGAAACCAACAAAACAAACCCAAACCAACAAATAAACTAAACACCGAAAAAAATATTTAAAAACCTCCAAAAGTCCCAACTCGGGCGCTTCCCTAGTAAAAATAAGTCACCCTCTTCTCAGCAGACCAACTGATTGGACACCAACACACAAGAAATGACAAAAAATTGCCTTAAAATACTAAGATTAAAAATTAACCTCAGCCCCCTAAAAGCATCTGGCCTAGCATCCACTGCACAACCTTTACATACAGTTTTCAAAAATGCTATTTTTTCACCAAGACACATTCTAGAACAAAGACACATACTAACATCAACAGCTATTCAATACTTTCCACATCTTACACGCAAGGCCTATTTAGCCACACTCCATTTCCTTCCATGGCTTTCCCACAGCTGTAACTTCTTCATAAATACTAAAAAAATCTTCACAACACCCCTACAAGATGAAGAAGTATCCTCCTCCTCTTTCACGTGGGGCTTTGAAATACAAAAAAGAAATTTAGGCATAATGCTTTGTGTAAATTTTGGTGATCCCATTTGAACTAAATGGCACCTGGGTCACCAGAGTTATTTGCATTTTGTTGCCTTTTCTCCCTTGAAGGCAGCTACGAAGGCAATCAACTCCGTGTTTTTCTGTACCACCAAAATTATTAAAACACAGAGCAGCATATCAAAAAACCTTCACCTGTTTAGTGGTGATTTACTTTGTTGGCTGCCGAGTGTTAACGGTTCTGCCATTTAAGGATAGTTACCCCAGCTACTAACAACACAACTCTCAGGTCTTGAATTGTCCCTAATTTTCAATATTTAACCGAATTTAGCATTTGAAGCATTTAACATTCCATTTCCTTCCGCACTTCCATTTCCAAAGTGAAATTGCCAAAATCCTGCCCAAAGTAAGAAACTGCAAGTACATCAGGAATATTGTTTCTGAATTTGCACATATAACCAGCTAGCAGGGTGGGTAGATTTTCTTGGTTTTGTGCTAGCAGGAATTGAAAACCTGATGATGAAAATAAGAATGCTTTGTGATAGCACTCCCCTATCCCCCCAAAAAATTCAACCACTCTTGAGTATTAAAGATAATTGACTACGTTGCTGTTTTTTCAATCAAAGAGCCCTCATTCATCATGGCAAAAAGAAACCTTTTTACTTGCGTAACACATATGCAAAAGACAAAAAAATAATGACACGGGGTTCTGTAAAAGAAATCAAACCAACATGACCAAAACCATTGTTAAGCCTTAGCTAACATAATAAATGTGCATTGTTTGTATACTAGTGATTCCTTGCCCGATGTGCACAGAACTCTTTATGAGGAATACATATTTACATCTAGGTGATCCTGCTCTGGCAGGGCGCTTGGACTAGTTTATCTTTCAAGGTTCCTTCCAACTCCTGACATTCTGTGAAAATTTTAGTTTTATGGCCAATGACCTAAAAAGCACCCACAGTTCAGGAGGTTAAGCAGGCAGCAGGTCACCTAGACAGCCTTGGAACAAACTGCTCCTAGAGAAAAAATATGTGCATTTGACAAGAATTACAGAATCGCCCAGGTTGGAAAAGACCTTTAAGACCGTCGAGTCCAACCACAGACCCAACAGTGACGAGTCCTCACTAAATCAGCTCCCTGAGCGCTGGGTCTGCCCGACTC